CCGACCAACCACAAGACGCCCCTCCCCATTTCACCCCGCCCAAATTATCCACCGCCCAACCACAAGACGTCCCTCCCCTTTTCATCCCTCTCAAATTATCCACCGCCCAACCACAAGACGTCCCTCCCCTTTTCATCCCTCTCAAATTATCCACCGCCCAACCACAAGACGTCCCTCCCCTTTTTATCCCTCTCAAATTATCCACCGACCAACCACAAGACGCCCCTCCCCTTCTCAATCTACCGGAATTGTCCACCAAAGACTGACTACAAAACGTCTTTCTCCTGTTCATCAAACTGAACGCCACTATAATAGGCAAACTAGTACAGCACGCCCAGCTCACCCTACCGAACATCACAGCAAACCACAAAGGTCCTCTCCAGCGCACCGTACCGCAAGTCAAAGCAAAACACCAAATCCCCGAGCTCATCAAACCAAGCGTCAAAGCAAACCGTCACGTCCCTCCCCCACTCACCAGCCAAAAACTGCTGAACGCAATAGCCATCGATCCGGTTCACCACAAACAACCCATGCAACCAAAAAGTCGACAAGACCGAGTTACCAGCAGAGCTCAACAATTCAAGGGAAGACAAGGAACACAAACTCTCCAACACAAAGTGTCACAAGCACCACCAGTCAAAATCGTACCACGAAAGAACCAGACACAAAGCTAACACCCCAGTGTCCAGATCGACAGTTCCCGTGTGATAACGGCATATGTATTTCCTTTGCCTACGTCTGCAACGGCTGGGACGAGTGCGGGGACAGCAGTGACGAGAGCCGGGATCTGTGTCGCGACAAAAACGTCACGTTCCTCTGGTGCGGCAACAGCATGATAAAAGGACAAAACCTACACAAGTGCAACGGTGTCCCTGATTGTCCGAATGGTTTTGACGAGGTGGGTTGTGGGTGCGTGCTGATGTGTGACGGAAACTCAACATGTGTGAAACAAGAAGATATCTGTGACGGTCAGTCCAAATGTACGGACGGAACAGATGAAATGCGTATAGCAGGAAACACCTCCTGTTCATGCGACAAGGTTCCTTGTCCTAGCGGCCTGTGCATGCCCCCAGCTGATTTACCAAAGAACGGCGATTTGGAGTGCTGGGCGCCAGAGTCTGAGGCAAAACGGGAAACGGTGCTGGAGTACTGTTACGGCGATGACGTTTTTGCCTGTGACAATAACACTAAATGCCTGAGTACTAGCTCCTGGTGCGATTCAGTAAACAACTGCGACGATAATTCTGACGAGCCAAATACGTCGAGGGGCGAGTACTCGTGCCGATGTGATGAATTCCCGTGCAGTAATGGTAAATGCGTCTCCCAGAACAGCACGTGCGACAACGTGAACAACTGCGGTGATGGGTCTGATGAAAGTATCCTGGCAGGATGCAACAACCCAGATGCTAAGAGTTGCAGGAACGGTCCTGACCAGTTCCGTTGCTCAAACGGCTTGTGCGTGGAATATAACATAACGTGTGACAGTAGGAACAACTGTGGAGACTACTCCGATGAGAAAAATTGCCAGTTCCAGTGCCACAAAGATGAATTGCTATGCGATGATATAACTTGCTATAAAAAAGCGAAGAAATGCGACGGATTTTCTGACTGCTTCGACGGAACGGATGAGACCCACTGCACTTCACATGAAGCAATAGGTTGCATCATTGGACAGCTGCCATGTGACGACGGAACTAAATGTTACAGCGCGGTCCTCAAATGTAACGGTAACAGTGACTGCCCCGACGGCAGCGATGAATCTAATTGCCCCGCTGGAACGTTTTTCTCGTGCCCCATAGGAAGTTTATACTGCAAGGACCTAATAACCTGCTATGACCTCTCTAGTGACGTCTGTGACGGCATTAATCAATGCCCTGGGGGCGATGACGAAGAATCTTGCCATGATCATAAATGCCCTTTTGACAAGCTACAGTGTAACGACGGGATTAACTGCTACAATGCAGACTATAAATGTGACGGTGATAATGACTGCCCTGACGGCTCCGACGAATTTGGTTGCGATGTAATCTCATGCCCTTTGGACAAGCAACGATGTAACGACGGACGTCATTGCTACGACGAGATTTCCAAATGCGACGGTAAATATGACTGCTCTGATGGTTCCGATGAAATGTTTTGCACGTGCCCCTCAGGAAAAATATATTGCAATGACAATATTCACTGCTATGATTTGATTGCTGACAAATGTGACGGCATAAATGACTGTCCTGACGGCTCTGACGAGTTGGGCTGTCTGTCTCCGAGCGGCAGCAGCGGCAGCAGCG